GATTAATTCCAGAAATCCGAAAATGAACCGCAGGGAAGAATGCCTCATTATCACGCGTGATGTAGGGCAGTATATAAGACTGCTATTCTGATGAGTGGGGTACATTATACTTCCATGTGATTTCTGTGCGGTTGGTCTCTACGTGACATACTTAGTGGAGACCTCATAGAAAGCGGTGAGTGTGCAAAGCTGTGTTCAATGTGATTGAAATCTTGGTTTAGAGTTTCTTTGTTTGGTTATGGAGGCGTCTGGCCAAGTAGATTGCTGTCAACTTGACCTTTCCAGGCTCTGAGGAAGGCGAAATCCGCCGAAACGTCAGCTCATTTGTGAATAAAGAATAATAACACCTCGCGTTTGCTCAACAAAAATACGAAGAATTAATTGTAAAAAGTGGTTTTATCATTGAATCTATCATGCTAGGAAGGAGCAGATGCAAAGCAGTTTTGGTGAGGAGAGTCATAATGCTCCCTATGATGTCACTTTGAATGCCGCTTAAGCAGTGGAATATAAAGCAGCCCTACCTAGCAGGTAGCGATGGTAATAATCTCAAAAATTTTTTTCCTAAAAAGCATTTTGTTCTGCTTGCCTCAAATTCAAAAACAAAAAAAAATTAGAGCTAGTCAACGAGTTTTATGAGGAAACGTAAGCTATGGCAGTAATGAATCTTAACTGTACGCATTTGTCATACTGATCACAGTTATTTTCCAGGTGAGATGGGCAGATTTTCCAAGGCTCGTAAGCCTTACTAGGTTAAGAAAGTGCTGAGAATTTGGGTTTGGGGTCTATAAAAAGTACCTTCAAATACAATTGTTCCATAAGCGTCAGTTGGTGCTGTCTCAGTGTTTCTCGCTATCGTCCAGCGATATCCATGCGGTTTTTTACTTGCGTTTGAAATCTTCTAAAAAAGCCAGTTTATTTCGAAGAATACGCCATTTTTGAAATTGGCACACATCTTAAAACAGCAGAATAACCATTTTAGACGAGGTCCACGAATTGGCATGTCCATAATTTCTTCACTGAAACCGTTGATCAATAGAAGCAAACACGAAGAAAAGAAGAGCCAAAGTATGACTGCTTCACGACTCTACGCATATCATTGTTGAACATGCCGTGATTACCAGTTTACATCAGTTTTAATGGCATATGTGTCAATGGAAAAATTTTAGGAAATCACTGTTTTGCTGATAGCATCGTCATCTTCTCAAAAAGTACCGACAAAGTAGAGGTAAGCACCAACGAGGTCAACGAACCGTGAAAAAGATCGGACTGCGCACAAATCGAAAAAACCATTTCATAAAAAGCCATGATGCGAAAGCGAACATTTTAAGCTAGAGGTGCTCCGATGGCATCGATAACCTCACACGTATACCATGGGCGATCAATGAACATGGAGAATAGGAGTTGAGGGAGTTAGAAGTTAGACAGCAGAAGAAGAGCAGCTTGGGCCGCATTCGTGCCTCTCATGGAAACCACCGACGAAATGAAGGACCCAGAAATCCGTGCTCACTTGTTGATTAGGCGGTTCTCCTAGCGCTCTGTGATGCTGCAGAGACGTAGGCTGATACTTCAACCACCTCAAGAGTACTCCGCACTACTGGCAATGCTCTTGACTGGCATCTTCTGAAATTTAACCGGCATTTACATCATCCATCTAGAAAATGAAGCTCTGATTTCCAAAATCTATCTCATGTTCGAGATCCAAGAGAGCACACACCGATAAGCAGGCATAGATGGGCCGACCATATACTGAGAACAGCGGACGACAGATGCATGAAAAAAACTGAAAATTGGACCACACGAGGGTGCAATTGTCCTTCAGGCCTACCATCACCACATACAAATTGAGAGGATGTGTTCATAACTAAAATTTATCAGCTATGTCCGCATCTGAGGTTCTTTTGCAGGTCACGATATAAGACTCGCGGATTCCATCACGCTCAAATCTAACCATCGCCGTGAACGACGATTGTGCAAGGAAGAAAAGAATTGAGAAAGTGCTAGGGTCCGTACTACTCGTGAAGGCGGGTTGTCCACCATATATTGCAGTAAGTCTTGCAAACCTTAATCGACTCGTGGTTATCCGATTCATTCGATGTTTCATTAACAAAGTGAAGTCTAGGCAATTTGAGAAATTTGTGCGACTGAACGGTCTGCTGAACTTCGATTGGGTGTTGATCGATGGATCTTCCACAGCCACACCTTAAAATTCGATTTTTTTGCTTCTTGATTAAACAACAGTGTCATCCATAGCAGTGGTAACTCTCTACCACAGAAAATTATTTGTATTACAGTAAATAGAGTGTTTCCTTGAGTGATCAGATCACGTTTTCCAGAATATGACGATCTGTGCGTCACTTTCCAATGTTTTACTAGCCTGAAGCTTCAATCTACTATCCA